AGGTGAGAAGCAGCAGATCGGCAGAAGGCAGCTCTGCAGCACATCCAGGCCCCTCCTGCACCCCTGGGGCCGGGGACAGCTGGCAAGCAGGGCAGCGTGGGGCTCTTCACCCTGATTCTGAATGCTGCAGTGCTGAAGATGCGCATTTCCAAGGGACCAGAAGTGGCTTCAGCTGTGTTTGCTGAAGCAGCTGTAGGTTTTGTAGCTACCCATCACCAGCCCACCCCATACCAATCAATTCTGTGACAGCCAAGGGGACGCAGTTGTCTGCACTTCTCTGCAGGGTAGGGGGGCTCCGTCACCCTCCAAGGAAATGTTGTATTCATTGTTAATGCCCCTCAAGGCCGGCAGAGCCCAGGGATGCCTATAACCCCAGGCAGCGAGGTGTAGTGGAACACCACAAGGTCTCTGGACTCCCTAGCTCCCTGCAGCAGAGCAGGGGGCCTGGTGTCACCCACCCAGACAGCTGTGACCTCTGCAAACCCCGCGTCCAACTCCAGCGTGCTTCAAACATGGGGTCTGCCATAAAACATGCCTTCCACCCTCTCCCAGCCCTGCCACTTGTCCCCAAGCTGCTGCACACCAAAGGCGGCCAGGGGTGCTCCCCTGGTGTGCTGGGGAGAATGGGACCAAGGAGATGCCAGCCCGGTGTGCACAAGCTAGGCTAGGGCACTGGGAGGCAGGATTGCTCCATGGCATTTCCCAAGCACAGCTTTCCAGCTCCAGTGCCCTGCAGTATCCTGTCTGGACTTTGGGCAGGACTGAGCTCCTCTGGGAGACGTTACAAGCAGAGGACACAGGAAGGCTGTGAGAGAGTCCCTCTAAAAGTCTGCTGAAAGTACAAAAGAAAGCAAGAAACCACATCTTCTCCATCCCGCAAGAAAGGCCTAAGGGGCTCCCTCTTACCATTCCGGATACATCCCAGCACCAGGAGACCGAGACAGAGAAGATGCAGCTGCTGCATTTTGCTGCTGAGTTTGGCAGAGGGTGGTGATGGTGCTCTGGTCAGGAGAGGTGAGCTCTGCACAGCTTCCCTGTGCTCTGCTGCTTGTGCTCCACGCTGTCTATTTATCCTTCTAGCCCGCAGCTTTCACTTTCTTAAGGAGAAGAGGCGTGGGAAGTTGCCAGAAGTCAAGCTGAATTTCAATTTCTGAGCAGTTCCCGAATATCCCGGCTGCTTTCCCTGCAGGCAGCTGCTCTGCAGTCCCAGAGCCAAATATGCTCCTGCCCCCTCCGCTGCCAGAACCTGGGCCACAGGGGCTGCTGGTCAGGACCAGAGCAGCTCCAGGGTGCCTTCACCTGGTTCCCTGGGCAAAAACATGGGGGAGTCTGACCCCATACATTTCCCAATGCCTTCTCTGAGGTATCTCCGTGACGTTTCCATTAGATAGCACACAGGCTCAACCAACTGACATTGGGGGGAGAACTTGCCTCAATCCCATTTTTTTAGGTATATATCAGTACTGGGGTGATACCTGGCTAGCCCTGAGCCACCCCATCTGGTCATAGGAGCCTGGATGACTCTCCCTGCCCTCCCCCTTGCCTGTGTGTGGGGCATATCCAATGGCTGGCATACCCAGCCAGCATGATCCACTCCAGGGCCACAATCTCACATGCCAAAAGGTTACCTGCTTTCCAGGTGTCCCAGCAAACAGGATCATGGTCAAGGCAGCTACAGAGCTTCCCGGAAACAGGTTTTCTCAGCACAAGAGCAGAAATCCCCCCAGAGTGTGCACAGAGTGGGATGCCAGCAGCTCACTGGCTGCATGAGCACTGTAGGGAGGGAAGACCAGCAGTGCCACTGGAAACCGTCACGGAACACGGGGACAGGGGCTGTTCCTCCTCATCATGGTGACTCACCACCATGCCAGTGCCACCTGCACTGATGTCCTTTAACCTGCCTGCTTCAGCCCTGATATGTGGCATGTGGGACCCTGAGAGGCGTGGGGTTCTGCAGCCCAGGGAAGAGACAGTGGAGGGGGTCTCACTGCTTCCAGCAGATGCCTTGTAGGGGTTTGGAGAAATATCAGAGCCAGGTTCTTCTTGAAGGGACACAGGGACAGGATGAGAGGAAACTGTACCCAGGGAAATTCCAACTGATAATAGAAAAAGTATTTCCCCACAAGAGCAAACAAATCCTGGAGTGGGATCTTCATCCCTTCACTCCCTTGCTCCAGCTTTGTACTCTCCTGGCACTTCTACCCAGGGACTAGACACCGTGCTGGGATGCAGGAACCTCAGTAAGTCTCTCCACTCCTCTCAGCAGTAAGAGACAGTGAAATTTGCCCCTTCCCTCCCCCATGTTAAGAAGCAAGAGGAGACTCCAGCCAAGGTGCTCCATCTCAGTACTGGCACTGGCACCAGCCTCATGCACAGGGTGGTCTCCTCCATCAGAAGAGCCTTGCATCCAGCCACTCCTGTGCCCTGGCAAGCCAGCGTTGTGCCAAAGGGGTTAAGCAGGAGCTCGTGGGAGGCACAGGATATGCCAGCTTAACTTCAGTCAGCACCTGCCTTCATCTAGAACTCACAAGCTATTGAAGAGAAATCTTGGCTGGTGGAACGGGAATTTAGGTGGGGGAGGATTAGTGTCAGTCATCAGCTCCAGCCTCCCTGCAGGTTTGGGGATGCAGGCTGGTTCTGGGGCCTGGCCTCCACTTGATCTTTTTTTTGCACTGCCACAGAGATACCTCAGCAGGGAGGACAAAGGCTCCTGCTGCTGATGCTGGTGGCCAGATCTCCAGGCACAGCCACTCCTAACCCAGCGCCAGCTCCTCCCCAACAGGTGGACTGACAGCATGATGGCCCCCATGAAGAGGGACCCCCAAAAGCAGAGCCCTGACCCCCCAGTGAGGGATGTTGGGGGTGCCCAATGGCAAACCCTCGCCTCCTTGCACATTTGGTGGGTTTGGCAGCTATCAGAGCATGCCTGAAGACCGGCAATAGGTGCTGGAAGTCTTGGACAGGGGGGGCCTCTCCTGTTGGACCCCTCCTCCAGGCACTGCTGGGGTCTTGATCCCCACAGCAAGTGGGTGGTCCCCAGGCAATTCCCTGGCACAAAGGGCTCCTACCTGCTGCTGGCTCCCAGCTAGCCAAGCGCTGGAAGCAGCATGTCCAGTGTTGGGAAGGCATCCTTCTGAGGATAAACCCCTCAACTGCTTCTGGGCACAGGGGCTCCCTCTCCTTCTGCTGCCCGAAGCCCCTGCTGCACAGAGGGGCAGGAAAGAGAGGCTCTGCCTCCTCCCAGCAGCTGTCCGGGTGCCAAGTGGGTGAAAGCACAGCTGCTTCAGTCGCCTCTGCTCCCCAGGAGGGGCACAAGGGTGAGGAAAGGGGCTTTCCACGTGTTGTGAAAGGGGAATGTGGTGGGTTTCCCCCCCCCCCTCCACGGTTCTAAGAAGAGAGTGGTCATCTCTGAAGTGCATCTCTGTGGCATGCAGTGAGGTCACCACATCCCCCTCAGAGGGCAGAGCCTCGGGGAGCAGAAGAGATGGTGTGGATGGGGAAGACAGGATGTTTTGGGGTCCAGGCTCTTCAAAGACAAATGCAGGCAGGGAACAGTCAGGGGATCTGGTGCGATTTGGGAAGATGGGAGAGCATTGCGTACACTGACCCACTTTTAAGACTCATCCAGAGCAATTTAGGAGTGCTGGAGCTGCAGCCCCAAGGACACCACAGGCAGCAGGAAGCATCCATGAGCACTCACCCCTGCAGAAGCCTCCACAGTGCAGCTCTTAATTAAAGTGGAAACTGAGCATGGGGGGCGATGATCCCTGTGGGAAATCCAACCCATCAAAATGTAAATGGGCCGTGTGAGTATCACCTCCAGCCCCAGCCTCTCCTCAGGTTGCACCAGCCACGCTGCCAGCCTCGTGGAGACCTGTGAGCTGCGGGAGCGCCTGGGGCGGCTGCTCCCTGCCAGGCTCATGGGTTCCAGCGTTCTCCCTGGGGTGCCTTGCGGTGCTCTGCTTTCCACCTCCAGAGCTGGAATGGGCAAAGGGGGAATTTCAGCAAATTCCAGACACAGTCAGCCCCTGCGGCAGGATCTGGCCTGGCTGGATTCACCTCATTGGGAAATAGTGGGCAGGCACTGAGGCTGTTTCAATTTCCCTCGAATCTCCCGGCTCGAGGGAGCCTCCCGCACTGCCCCCATTGCTGCCCCCATCCTGGTGCCGTACAGGGGCTGAGGCCACCACCACCCCATGGGCCTCAGGGCCCCACTGGATGTCCTTCAGCTGAAAGAATCCAGTATCTGATTTAAATGGGGCTAAGGGGAAAAAAAAAGAGCAATTCATGCCTTTGCCCAGAGGGAGCAAAGATGGTCCTGAAGATCTGGCTAAAAGGGATGCAGAAGGTGCCAATTCCCGCTCTGTTAGAGCCCATCTGTCCCTAGCACTCATTGCCTTCAGTGTCATTGATGTTGACGTCATTGTAGGCAATGGGCAGCAGAGACCCTTCAGCAGGGTCCCGCTCAACTCCTTAAGGTGAGCATCCATCTCCTGGAGTCCTTGCAGCACATAGGTCCCTCAGCATCATCCTTGGGCTGCACAGTTTCCCAGCCAGGTGCTTCCTGCAAATGTCCTTGGCCACGCCGTGATGGCAATGAGATGGCAGTGGCCAGGTGGGATGCCCCCAGTCCTGGCTCCCTGCCATCATGCTGCCTGTCCTGCTCTCTGCAACCACTCTGGGGGTTTCAGGAAAGGACACTGGGGAACAGCTTGGAGACCTGTGAAAAAAAAACAGCCCCGCAGCAATTTCCTTGAAGTAAGGAGGTTCAGCGAGACCACGTGCCAGGTCCTGCACTTGGGTCACAACAACCTCAAGCTCCAGGCTTGGGGACAAGTGACTGGAACGCTTCCTGGTAGAAAAAGACCTGTGGACTCTGGTTGACAGCTGACTGAACATGAGCCACCAGTGCGCCCAGGTGGCCAAGAAGGCCAGCAGCATCCTGGCTTGTATCAGCACTAGTGTGGCCAGCACGACTAGGGCAGGGATCGTGCCCCTGTACTGGACACTGGTGAGGCTGCACCTCAGATTCTGGGTTCAGTTTTGGGCCCCTCCACTACAAGAAAGGCATCAAGGTGCTAGAGCTTGTCCACAAGGAATGGCTGAGGGACCTGGGGTTGTTTAGCCTGAAGAAAAGGAGGCTCAGGTGAGACCTTACCACTCGCCTGGCAGGAGACTGTAGTGAAGTGGTGATCAGTCTGTTCTCCCAAGTAACAAGCAATAGGACAAGAGGAAATGGCCTCAACTTGCATGAGGGCAGGTTTAGGCTGGAGATTAGGAAAAGATCTCTTCACCCAAAGGGTTGTCAAGCATTGGAACAGGCTGCGCAGGGAAGTGGTAGAGTCACCATCTGGGGAGGTATTTAAAAGCCATGGAAATGTGGTGCTGAGTGACATGGTTTACTGGTAGACTAGGCAGTGTTGGGTTAATGATTGGGCTTGAGGATCTTGAAAGTCTCTTCCAACCAAAATGATTCTGTGTGGCTTGGCAGGAAGGATGCCTGCTGAGGCTGCACCCCAAACTCACCCATGGACAGATCTGAAAGCATGTGAGGTAGATCAAAATCCCTAAAGACTGCTTTCTTTGACTGCTCTGTTGGCTCTTAGGGTGACACTGGACACAGGAGGCTGTGAGGTTCTCAGTCTGGTGCAGCTCTGAGACACGGCTCACATTGGCCTCACGGCAGGACATTCTCAGAGGAGAGAAGATGGTCTTTCACCATGCCTTGGAAAGCTGCATCCTGGGAGTAGGTCTGCAATCCCCAGCAGGATGGGAGGGAATGGAGAGACATGGGGGTCTGGGCACATGAAAGGAGGACTAGGAGCATGAGGATGCCCCAAAGCCAAGCAACACAGAGAACGAGGGAAGGAGGGCACTTGGGAGCTACATGTAGGCAAAGGAAGGGTTGAGAGTAGGGTCTGGACTGGGGACCTCTATGACAGGATGGGTGCCAAGGGATGGCTGGGACTGAGAAATATCTTGGGGCAGGAAGGGTGGGAGTCCCAATTGCCCACCAGCCACTTCACCTCTTCTCTGCTCTCAAGACCATAGCAGACTCCAGGAGGGCAGTACTGGTAGAGAGAGCATAAAAAAACACCTTGAAGCTTCACTTGGAAACCACAGCCCCTCTAGCACCCACACAACCACAGAAAAAGCCCTTGGCACCCACTGGTCTGCTGCAGCATAGCTGGCTGGGTCCTGCATAGGAGCAGGAGCGCTTCTCAGGATCAGCACGGGATGGAAAGATGGAGCTGGTGCACATGTCCCAAGAAGAGCCTCACTAGAGCTCAGTCCAGCCTTAAAGCCCAGCACACCACACTGCCAGTGCAAGCCTGGAGCACTGTCTGCACCAGCTAACAACTTCAGCTAATCATTTGGCCCAGAGTCAAGACCTCCCGTTTCTTGGCTGCATTCTCTGTTTTCTGTCTTTCCTAGCTACTTTCTGCTGTCACTGAAGCCTTTCTGCTCCAGGGTGGCCTATCTCTCCTAACTTTTTGCTCTGCTTGACACAGTTGAGACTTTCTTTCCTTCCCTGCAGAATGCCTAGGGGTGCTTGTACAGCCCCTGCACATCCACTGCCCTGGCACACGCTGCATCAGTGTCTCCTGGTCTTTGCACATGGGGTGAAGCAGCAGGTTTGCCCTGCCAAGGGGTACAGCTGTCTGAATCCTCCTCTGCTGCTTCACTGCAGCATCACCTGAGAGCATCTTCTTTACATTGCTTGTCTTAGCTGGGATTCGTGGATTCAGCTCCTCCATGGGAAAGAGGTTTTGGCTCTTGCTGCACACTCCAGATCCCAGCCTGTTGCCTCTCCCTTCAGCATCTCACAGAGAATCTTCTTGGAGGTGTTTCCCTGGTGCCATCTCACCATGGCAGCATTGCAGCCACCTGCCTTGCCAACAAGAGGCTCCCACTAACCCCGGCACCTTATTTTCCTTAAAAGCAACATTCTGCAGTAGAGCTGGAAGTGATGTGCAAATCTCCGTATGTGTGCAGGCACAAGCACACGTGGGGCTGCATTTGTGCATCGTGTCTGTGCTCATATGTGCCCTCCTGGGCAGGTATCTGTGCCTGAGCATGGGGCAAACTCTGGTGCTCTTCCAGAAGTCCTGCTTTTATGGTGAATTTTAGGGAAAACTAGAGCACCTGCAAGGACTCGTCTGTATAACCTGTTTTATCCTAATGCCTGCCTAGCATTTGTAGGGAAGAAACCCACCCGCATGGTGTTTACATCTGCAGCCACAGAGGCTCTAGTACACATTTCACACGCTGGCTCGTTCCTGCCATGTGCTCATGCTTTGCTGCCTGTGGTTGCAGACGTACTTGTCTGAGCCTCCTTTCTGTGGGGTTTTTGCAATTATTTCACAATCCCCTGACACTGCGACCAGCGTAAGAGAGTCCAGCAGAAGGCAGGGCCAGCCTCACAGGGCTGGATGCTGTGCATCCCCAGAAAACCCAGGGCTGCCTCCAGCTCTCCTATGGCAGCCCCAGCTGATCTTCTCAGTGTGTGGGTGTCAGTTCCCAGGCTTTCAGCAAAGCCCAGGCCAGAGAACAGCCTCACTAATAACGTAGCTTAATGCTGTTTTCCCCAAGCAGCACAGAGCTCCTGCTTTGAGCCAGCGGTGCTTGTCCAGGGAGGTTTGGAGTCAGATGGAAAAGCTCTGCCATTAGCAAAGAAGCCACGTACAAACCCATTCCATGCTCCTGTGTTTGCTGGCATCTCGGTGGAGACAGATGAGCAAACAGGACAGCTTCACCTTGCTGAACAGCACAGCTGCAGGAGAGGGGACTAGCATGGTCCCCCTCCCCTAAGCCAGCAGCTCCCAGCTCCTGCACCCCAGGGATGCAGCACCCTGGGGGGCTGCAAAAGCCAGTACCTGGGGGATGACAGTGTAAGAGGGTAGGAGAGCAGCCACCCTTGCAGCTCCTCCTGGCCCACAAAAGCCCATCACAACAGCCAGAACAAGCGAATTTGGTTGTAAAGGATATATTTTATTGCCTCACATCCTGTCCAAAAGCCAACCTGGCCAACAGCCACATGCTCCTGCTTGGAGAAGGCATCACGGAGCCAGCTCAGCGCCCGTTCCGTGCTCAGGGATGGTATCTTGGACTTCACAGTTTCTTTACACAGCCTTAAAATAATAAATCTAAATGCCCACCTAATAAGCAATCAAGCCAGATAAATGTTACTGATAGAAACAGCTGCAAGCTTTAATCCAGCCAACACACACCCTTTGCTGATACTGTTAAGCCCTGCAAATCCTATTATCGCAATTATATGACTTAATAGGCCTTTACTGACCAAAGTCCTCGTCTGAAGTTTCTGCAAGCAGATAGCACTGGGGTTGTGGTACAGTAAAAAAAAATTAAAATCAAAGGGACAAATCCTGACTCTTTTCCTCCAAACCACACTGCAACAGTGCGCTATGAAAGCAGAAGGAAAAGCCTAGAACAGCCCAGACATACAGCCACACTATCACTCCCACTGCTCCCACACTCCCCATCTCAGTCACTATTAATTGCCCTGCGAGGAAGGAATTGTCCAGCAAGCTGCCTGGGCAGGACCACAGGGATCTGGGACCCGCCTGGCACCCCACAGCCTTGCAAGCCAAAAAGGAGCAAACAGGTGAGAGGGAAATGAAACGCAGCCAACATTTATTTGGTAGAAAAATAAGAGCAATCTTCCAGAAAAGCCAGCCTGCAGCATAAAGGGCACTCTGTGAAGCAGAAGGAGCCAGAAGTAAAGCTTTCCAGGAAGAATGAATGAAAGCACAGTCTTCATATATAAATACAAATGTATAAAATCCCCCAAAAAAAAGTCATAGGAAAAGCTGCCATCCTGCCAGGCTATAGAAATCCCCTTAGGTAGGAAGGCTGCCCACTTCCCCCTCGGGGCCATGGCTCAGCTGCCAGGCAAGTCCAGGTCCTCACTGGCGTGGCCATGGGGCAAGAGAGGACCTGGGTGCCCCACGTGCCGAGAGCACCCCACCGGTGTGAGGGTCCCAGCCAAGGGGTCTCTGTGGCAGGCACCGCGGGGGCTCTCTGGTGCAGGCACGGCAGCGCCGAGGGAGCAGCCCCCTCAGACAGCCCCACCCTCGCTGAGGGGCTGTCAGGAGGGTGGGTGGTCAGTGGGTGTCCGTTGCCAGGCGGTGGGTCGGTCATCGTTAGGGAAAGCGTCCGTCCTGAGGAAGGCAAGGAGAGGGCAGTGAGGTGGAGAGGGTCTCGGTGGGAGCACTCACCCCACTCAGGGGGCCTCTCCTCGCACAATATTTCTTGCTTGTCCCCAGGCAGCTCCAGAAAGAATCTGATTTTTAAGCAAGCACAGGCTGGGAAGAAGCCATGCCCTGGGGACCTCCACACTCCACCCACAGCTCTGGCAGCCCTCCCAGGCTTGGCCATGGGAGTCAGACACCCACTCCTCCACAAGGAAGGGTCAGGGTTGGAGGGCAGCACCCTCACTTGGTCACCCTGCTGGCCCTGCTCCTCCCCACCTACCTCTTCAGGCCTGATTTAGATCCGCTGCCGCTTCTGACGCTTGGATCTGCGCCTGGCACGTGGAGACTGTCCCTCTTTCTTCTCCTTGTCCCTCCTGACCTTCTTGTCCAAGTTCTGCATCAGCTTCTGGATGGCGAGGTCATTGGGAGAGGCGCAGATTTTCTTGTTCTTCTTGGTGGTAAACCTGGGGGCGCAGGCAGAAAGGCTTGCTGGGGGTGTGGGCAGGGGGGAAGAGATGGAGAGGGAGGGTTTGGCTGGACCCAAGCTGCTCCGGGGAGTCCTGACTGCAGCAGAGTACTTACACGACAGCCTTCAGCAAACACCCCGTCTCAGGGCCCTGGATGCTGTAGGACTTCACCACATTGCTGGGGATGGTTCTCTGGCTGTACTTCAGGCAGCAGTCTGAAGCAGAGCTGCCAATGCCTGAGAGAAAGGAAGATTTCAGACCCTTTGGAAGGCAGACCTGCCAATGCCTGAGAGAAAGGAAGATTTCAGACCCTTCCCAGCCCCAGGGGAGCCCAGCCCAGCCAGCTGATGGCATGGGGCTGGCTTGGTGTCGTTGGTAGGACAGATGCTGGGGCAGCATGTGGAGGTGGGAGCTCTCAGCCCCAGTGCCCTGTTGCAGGTCAGACCCTGCCCTGGGGGATACGTGACACTAGTTTCTCTGCCAGCAAAGGGGAAACTGAGGCAAAGATAAATTCCTTGCAAAGGGTTTGAACCTCATCCTCCTGCTGCACTTGGAAGCTTGGGGTGCTGCTGCCACCCCAACAGCCACGTGCACACACGCGC